ACATCACCTACTTCTCAGTAAGGACAAACAGAAAGAACCAGTGTTCAATCAGTGAAAAATTAACTAAATTATTGACATTTTGTGTGAATTACAGAACACTACCTTGACCCTTTGTATTTTTTAATCATCCCTTTCTGTTTCTCCAACATGTAAACTTTTAGACACCTTGTTTACCTCAGTCTGTTGAAGAATTTTAAGATCCTCAACTGCATATGGGATCTGCAATTCACAAAATCCATAATCTGCTTTCATAGCAACAGCTGATGGCGCACTATGACACATTAACCCTTGACCTCACAAAGTTGCAGAGAACAAGTTGTCTTTTCGGGTTCAAGCTCAGAGCAAATTTCCTCTGCAAACTGATTTTTCTAATAAACAAGGATTTTATCACCTCCTATGCTGCAAATAGATGCAGCCACTGATATGTGGCCATGCTATGTGAAGGAAAGGCAAAATATTTCTCTTCACCATTTTCTGGTTTTAGTATTTGTCATGAGTACTTGTAAGAAGTATGTCATAAATCTTGTAAAGCTTGTTCTGGAAAAAAACATTTTACTGTGGGCAGACCACAGCATGCTGGCTTTCAGGTGTAGGGGATCTATAGTTAGTGCAGAAGAAGAAAAAGCATACTTAGGTGATGATCAAGCTCACAGCTAGAGCTAAAGAAGACCAAACTCCATTTTTCAACCTGAGATAAAAGGAATTGGAGCTTTAGATGCCAAATTCAAAGGAGAATTAGATTTCAAAACTTCTCTAATCCTGCCACATCCTTTCTTCTCCTCTTATGTCCTCTCCTCTACCTCTTCGTCAGCTTCCCCTTCCTCTGTCTGTACAGTATGAAGCTGCATTCTCTGGGTCATTAACAAGTTAACAACACAAACTGTTGCCACACATGCATAATCCCAGACATCCTACTATCCTGATCCCTAATCCACTTCCTACCACACTGGCCGTGACCAATCACAGCCTTTCATATTCTGAAGCAGTCAGTCACACCTAACAGGATTGGCTGGTCATAGTCTGGGATGCTGAAGCTTTTAGTGCTTTTGATAAATGGGTGACATTTATAATTGTGGTGTGTGTGTGTGAGTGCGCGCGCATTGCAGGGTCTGTCTGGGATCTTGCTTGTGACCCAGATTTGGTTCAGGGCCTAATGTGGAATTAGATGTGATATTTGGGGGCAGGAGATTATGGCTGACAAAAACAAATCTGTTGTTGTCAAGGACATACTGTATTTCATCAGGGTACATGATCTTCACACCGATCACACACACAAACACAAACTGACTGTATTGTTTGTTGAAAAAAATTCTGTATGAAAATTACTTGAGTAGTGAGGGGTACTAAAACATAAATTAAAATTAGTTGGGGAAATAAAAGATGCTTACCAAAAAGCGGATTCAAGAGAAATAATACAATACTTTGCTTCTTTTCCAACCTCCTGTACGTTTGTATAATTCATATACAATCCCTTGTTATAGCTTGAAGAACGCACCACACTGGTGGATTTTGCTGCACTGCAACAGGTTAAAGCATCAGTTACTGTCAGATACTCAAAGCTGAACATGATGTTCTTCAAAGTCTTTACTTTATAGAAACTTCTCACTCACTCATTAAATCTTATTTGCATGAAAATAGAAAAAAGAAACCTTGGGAATGTCATTTGGGATGATCGAGCATTCACTAGTGAGCCCACATGTGTTATATTTTCTTTTTATGACAATACAAAATTAGCTCATGCCTCTTTCTATGATCACAGTTGCTCCGTTATGCATTAGTGTTGCCTCAAAACATGTGCTTAGGGTCCCCTAGCAGAGATAAGTGATTAAAGTGGTTATTCCCTGAAGTACCAAATTATCATAGCAACTTTGATTGGATAATGAAATGGTATCAACGTGAAAGCTGTTCCAGACAGCTGCAAAGTTGCGGTAAGATAGTGTAAGCATGTAGGAACAGAGTTCTGGTGCAATAAAGTCATGTACCAAGGGCCGATTTTCTCATTTAAAGTGAACTTTTTGGGACATGTATCCACCTCAGTAGTTTTTGAGTGGATTTGGGTCCTTAAAGCAAGTGAAATATGGCAGTGCATCAAAGAATATTTCAGTGTTTTCAATATTAAGATCCATTTAGTTCTTTAAAATTACTGGGACAAGAAACTGGTAGATTTTTTTCCACTTGCTTTTAATGAAAATAATGTCTTAATTATAGACAAATGATTTATTGATTTATTTATGCACATTACCACTGTGCAGCTTGAACATGTCTAAAATGATAATAAAAACCTACATAAGTTTAGAAGACATTAGAGTGGACTTTAGGTTTTTATGAACAATGACATTACAGAGCAAAGTGGGCCTTTATGTGATCTGTGTTCACACTGAATCAGGAAGGGACTAATGTCAAACCACATGACACTGAACTTTCAAGAGCCCTCGCTCGAAACACAAACTCCAAAATGATGTGACCTGACTTTTACCATCTGCTGGTTTGCAGCAGATTATCTACACCCACATATCAAATGACCATGACATTCAGACTCACAATCTGAGGAGAACAATACCTAAAACCAAACCATGGATGACACCTGTGAAGGGCTTTTTGTCAGGCAGCACTTTCGAGCTGTCAGTGATGATTTAGCTTTTCAAATTTAAAACTGTACAAAGGTTAGGTTTCTGTCAAAGGCTTCAATAAACATGAGCTTTGCTTTTGTCACCTTTGTGGACAGTTCTGCAAGCAGCCAGGCTCTGATGGTCGCATATATATGTTATATAATTATAAATATAAATATATCTTAATATCACACTAAAATAGCCTACTGTAGTGGCTCCTGACAAATGTTTTTTTACCCTCTCCACAGGACTGTACAAGCTGCCAAGTCTCATTGAACCAGTTGTGCTCATTATCACAGTTTCTGAAGTTTCCATGGCAACTTTGCACCCTCATCTTATTTGGTTTGTGATTAAAAAACACATTGGGGTGAACTGAACTGGAATAGTGACAGATGGAGGATGGAGGGAGTCTGTCATTGTCATTTTTTTGAAGAATGTTTAGTTAGCAATTAACTGTTTGCCTCTCGAGTGCCTGAAGTGGGTGCCTGCTGATGCTTTGAAGATCAAATTAACCAATTAGGAAGAGATAAGAGTCTCATGAGCTATACCTCCCAATTCTGAGATGAAGCTCTTTTTGCAGCTAATGTTATCATCAGCAACAGGCAGCAAAGTTTTCCTGCTAACATTTTCTCCTTGTGATTGAAGCAGCAACACTCAGGCAACTCCTGTGGTTTTCAGAGATCAGAGTGCATACCCCCCCCTTACAAAGTTTACTAACAGCATCCCACACAGGAAAAGAAATAATAATAATAATGCCTTTTACTATATTTGACTACATGGTTCCCACAGTCAATCTGCAGGCTGGGGGGTGGGACAAATATCTGAGTGCTGTAGTAAGATGCTTTTCTCAAGCCCACCCACGCTGCCAATGCCACTAAAACATGTCAGGGGAAACAGGAAATGAAACTGCAACAATACTATTGTTGCTATAATGGTCGGCATCGTGACGGCTACAAACCAAGCTTCAAACAAAGCCTTTTTCTCAAAGCAGATGTGGGATTTGGCAAACTTATATGCATCAAAAGTGTGGCTTAATCAACTTTTTACTGATAAATGAATTTTTTTTTTAAGAACAAAGCACTATACATAACTCCCACACATTATAGTATCAAATCAATATTCTGCAAACGTTTTCAAAAACCTTTTTGCGCAGAAACTGACTTTTTAGGCCTAAAATCTACGGAAGCTGGCGGTTACAGTGGACTCCCATTCACGAGTTTCCATTAGTCAAGCAGATCAAACACTGGACCACAACTTTGTTGATACCTCCGACCCATAGCAGGTGACAGGGATCAACTGTGGTACTGAGCCTGTAGCAGCCAGCTGTCACACACATGCTTCTGCACGCATGAGATGCGTACACACTTGCACAGAGACGTACTACACGTACTGCAGCACACACGAGATGATGTGAAATTAAATAATCTGACCTCTGAGAGGCTCATAAAAACACATCGTTAAAAGTGCACAGTTATACAAACATGAATGGTGCACTCATGTGGATGTATAATCTAGCAGCTGTGTTACATTTACATACACATGCTAAGTTTAGAAAAAGTCCCATCCAGCTACATGCAAATTTGCTCCCTCTGAATCCCAAAAGACATCCAACAATTCAGTACATTTAAGGCCACTCATATTTTAACATCCACCCAGCCAAACACAATTTCAGCACTCAAGTACACACACATTTTAAATATCTCTCAAGATCCTGTGTCCTGTCTTTGTCTTGGCCTTCAAGCAACCACCAAAAAACACATTGCCTCTTTGAATCTGGGTCACCCAAAACAGACATGCACACAGAATTTTATGTACTTCTTTGGTCAATATTCAAAAGTCAATACCTGCAACCTTTACCCTATATACGTCACAAAACAAAACATTTCAGAAAATTCATCACATATCTGCTCAAGTTGGCTGCACATCTTAGGAAGCTAAAACAAAAAAATTTAAGTTTCTGTGAAGCTTAAGTTGGTCAAAACACAAAGAATGATTTAAAGTAATCAGGATTAAATCAGTCATTCATAATAATATGCTGCACATGGTAAAATTAGACTTCTTGTTATTAAATCAGAAACTGTTCCTGCAAAAGTTTCTCCTCGACCATAATACAGATGGCTCCATTACACTCACTGGCTGAGTCCCGAAGCCACCACTCTATCATTATCATTCCAGTAATGCTGGCACTCAATGATTCCATTTCCACTGAGAATAAAGTCTGATCTTAGATAGAGGCTGAAAGTATTTGGGAATTCCCTAGAGACTCTCACAGACTTAAGTAAACTAAGACAAACCCGAACTCCCACTGAGACAGGCCCCTAATACAGTATACATAAAAAAAACTAAGCAAGCTCCCCTCTCCTCATCATCCTTCTCTTCATCCCCGCTTACCTTCCACATGATTAACATCCCATCATCCACAAACAAAGTGAAAAAGAGAGGAAGAGAGAGAGGTGGGGAGAGAACGGAGATCTATCTTTGGCTCCCCCTCTCCTCTTTGGGACGCAGTAACGGCAGCGGCAGCAGAAGCAGTGGCGAGTAATGAACTTGGGAGTCAGTGAGGATGTGGCTATGTCTCTGTGGCTGTGTCATCACCTCTCATGACATGTTTCCTCCACTGCCTGTATAAGCCTTTCTATCCTGACCCAGCAGAGAGAGAGAGGGAGAGCTCGGTCAAACTAATGCACCGCCCCCTCTCTATCTCCCCTCCTCCTTCTCTTCTCAGTCCATCCCACCATGCCTGGTTCCCTGTATTCGGATCTGTCAGTAGGCTGCACTGCCTCAAAGCAGGCCAATCACTGAGGCTTTGGGGGGCGGAGTCTGGACTGCCTGTGTGCAAGTATGAGTTTGCAGTCGTATGTGTCATACAGACATTCTGTGACTAAACATGTTGGCATGTCTGCCTGTTCTTGGGATTCATGTCGGCATGTTCTCTCATATGTGGCTATGCAGGCAGAGCAATGTCAGGTCAGGTGTCCCCTTGCCTACACTACAATCTTATTAGTGTTATTTCTGTGTTCACGTAAAATGGCTATACATTTTTTGGTCATTTTTCAGCTTTGTGTGAGTCTTAGGAATTTGTCTCTCATGTGCTTGATAGAACCTTGTTTTACATATAAACATGCATTTAATGCATCAGTGTAATCTCCTTTCTTCAGTCTTGCTTGCTAAGTTTCACATCACTCTGGAATATCAATTACTGTCTGTATTACATATAGTGAAACTGCTGAAAAAACTTAGAAGAAGGCATCTGGACGTAATTTTAGGTAGAAGACATTTCACCTTTCATCCAAGAGGCTTCACCAGTTCTGATGCCTCTTGGATGAAAGGTGTCTTCTACCTAAAACTACGTCCAGATGCCTTCTTCTAAGTTTTTTTAGCATACTACGACCTGGATGACTGAGAATTTGTACAGACATATAGTGAAACTATGATCACATGTTTAAAATTCTGGAAAATCATCAAGGGGTTTACATGATGCAGTAGCACAATACAAAATAAAACAATACAGTCAGGTCCTACTCACCACTGTTCTTCTGAAAGTCTTTTTAGGAGAAATACTGTTTTTATTAACTAAATAATGCTAGTCAAATATTTTGTTAGAATTTTGATTCTATTGCAGATATTTTGCATTAAAAGCCTTCAGCAGCAGGTGCAAGTCAGATTGCAGTTATAATTATTGACTTGTCAGTAGGGTTCGTGTCCACATCCGATTCGTAATGACAAGTGGGAAAGCTCGAATATATCCAGCTTGGCACTTGGTAATACAGAAGTGATTTAAAATCAAGCAAATGTCTAGAAATATCCTGTGTAAATACATTATAAATGGAAATTGGATGGTGCCATGTTGTCAGTATTTTAATCTTCACGTGACCAATTAATTTTACATCTATTTTGATGACATGAATACTTACAAGTCATTAGCATGAGAATCTTTCACTACCATCTATTCCATATAAAATAAATGTGGCATTGTCAATTTGAAAAAATAAACAAAAAGAACAGCAAAGAATAAAATTGATGAGGTATCACATCAAATAATGTGCTGCTGTATTGCTTTCAATGTAAAACAGGGCACAGATGATTTACACATCACTATTTTAATTTAGATTTTACATACCGTCCCAACTTTTTTAGATCTGGGGTTGGAGAACACATTGCAATTCATCAATTTGTTAGAACAGTATACCTGTTGTAGAAACTCAAAGCAAAGTTGTTACTAATGGAGTTTGTGTTGCTGAAATCAATTATCCTGAATATATGAAGACATCAGGCAAATATGGAGGAAGAGCTGGATGTAAACAGAAAACACCATCAACAGCAAGTTAAAATGAAAGCAAATCACGAATTATGAAGGTAATACACTGGAAATGTCTTAGTTATGAGCCTTTCAAATAAGGCCTCTCTTCAGTTTTGATATATTAACTTTCAGCTGTTTTTACTTTTGCATTCATGGCACATCCTCAGCAGCGATTTAATTTTTAACGTCTCCCTCTTGTATTTCCCTCGCTCCCTCCACCTCGACACTTCGGCTGTTATAGTCCCAACTCATAAAAATAACCCCCATTTTTATGCAACTCACAAGGAGAGCAGCTTAAATTAATCTCCAAGATGCAAGTCAGTCATTTACCCTCCCACACAAGGCAAGCTGCCCCACTGTAACTACACACTGATCAAAAATCCTTGGTATTCACTAGCTGTCTCACTGAAAACAATCTGATGAACTGTCAATGATGTTCCTAGTCCTGGCGACTGCCCATAATTAAAAGCAGAATAAAGTTAAACAATTATATAAGCCCAAACCATTATTTAGATTTTTAGTCTGTGTGATATGAAGCTTTGAAATCCAGCTGACCATTTGTAGCTAGATTCCAAATAATCCGTAACATGGTGCCCTTAGGGAGTGACTCCTCACGTCGGAAATGTAGAACATGGTTCTTACTTTGCAACGACTTAATTTCCATCCTGTGTCCTGGACTGCACAATCACTGAGCCAGAAATGGGAATTAGACCCAAAATTAAATGTTTTATGCATCAAATGAAACTGTTTGTTCTTATTAGTTGCAGAAAGCATGCCCAAAAGTGAATGCACCATTTAATTATAGCACAGACAGAGATTTATGAAATTTCAAATCGATAGTCTTTTGGAGTTAAAATCAGTTTTTACCATTTAAGCTCTAAGATATGAAATGGAGTTTGTACACCAAAACTGTCAGGTTTGCCCAGCTCCCCCTTCCTCTCTTCTTCTTCCTCACACTAGCCTAGCCCTTGCACTGATTACACTATTCAACACACCTGCCCCGCTTCCCTGATTACTCACCAGCTGCACCTCATTAGTCTCCTCCATACTTATACACTGTTCACCAGTCACTCCCCTGACAGTTCTTTCTCTGTCTTCAGGCCAGTGGTTATGTTGTTTTATCAAGTTTATGCTAAGGTTGTCTTTGTTCTCTCTAGTCCTTGTTAGCACCCTAGTCGTTATCCTGCCCTGCCGTCTCTAGTGT